ACTTTCCCCACACGCCAACCAAGCATACACACAAACACGCACATGAAACATGCGTGTATCACGCATTGATTCACCACAGGCATACATCACCACGACTCATACATATGTCAACATACAAATTGCATGTGCAGGTCCTGACCGACGCGTGCTGGGCGCTGTCGTACCTGTCTGACGGCGACAACGACCGGATCGACAAGGTCATAGAGGCCGGCGTCTGCAGGCGCCTCGTAGAGCTGCTGATGTGAGCGAAATCCGCCCGCGGGCGGGTTTTGTTTCTCCGATGCGCCAAAGATTCCCACGGGAATTCGAGCGGGCGGGTTTTGTTTCTCCGATGCGCCGAAGATTCCCACGGGAATTCGAGCGGGCGGGGAGCGGTCTTCCGGCAGTCGCACCTGCTGCGGCGCGGCTGGCCGGGCGGGGCGGCTGGCGTCGCTGGTGTGTGCTCACGCGCCTGCGCCCTGGCACGCACAGGTGACATGCCCGAAGCCCGCTCCGCCCCCTTCTCCCCCCCCCCCAGGCACCACTCTGCGGCGGTGCTGGTGCCGGCGCTGCGCACCGTGGGCAACATCGTCACGGGCAACGACATGCAGACGCAGGTGACGCTCGGCGGCGCGCGTCGCAGCCCCCATCACCCGCGGCGCGGCGCCAGACCCTCCTCGTGTTTGTGCCTGTCTGTCACCGGCCCTGGCCGGCCCCCCCCTATACCAAAGCCCCCCGGGCTTGTTGCCCTTTTCCAAGTCATGCTGCCCCGCCGTTGCGCCCGGAGATTTTGCGCCCCTAACCAGCAATTCGCGCCGAGCGCCCTCGCGCCCCGAAACCGCATCCTCTGAAGTTCCCTGTCCTGTGTGCAAACCGTGCTCAAAGCCCCAGACTTGACACAGACTAACCCCTGAACCCCGAAACCCGCACCCCCAGGTGGTGGTCAACTGTGGCGCCCTGCCGTGCCTGCTGCAGCTGCTGACCACAAACCACAAGAAGTCCATCAAGAAGGAGGCCTGCTGGACCATCTCAAACATCACGGCAGGTGTGAGCGCGTGCGCCTGTGCCGTAGCCTGGTGCGGGCGGCGGGGCCGGAGGTTTTTCCTGTCTGGCGCACTGCTCGTCCTGTTGACAAGGCGCCTGTTTGGGGTCTTCAAACTCTTCATGGTTATCCTACTTGCACAGCGTCGCCATGAGTGCATGTCGTGTTCTTGCACTCCTGTCTTCCGGCCAAGCCTCCCATCAACAGCAAAGGCCCGCACCCACGCAGTCCCCCCCCCACACACACACACGCACACAACACACACACATATACGAACACAAATAACACGAACACATATCTCACACACACCCCACCAACACACACCCACCCCCCCCAGGCACCAAGGAGCAGATTCAGAACGTCATCGACGCCGGCATCGCCCCGCCCCTGGTCTACCTGCTGCAGGTGAGGCCCCCCCTCCCCGGCCCCTGGCCACCGACACACACAGACAGCCAAAAGCCGTAATCGACAGCCCAGGACATGCGCCCGATCAACCGCATTGCTGTTGGAGGAGCGGGCCCCTGCCGGTCAACGGAACCACCGTGTGTGGACGCGTGCGTGCCTGGGGAAGCTGTATCACAAGAGCGAGCCATCAAATTGCGTCCGCCTCCGCCCCCCTTGTGCGCCCCTCATCCGTCCCCCATCCGCCCCTCATCCGCCCCCCCAACGCCGCAGCATGCTGAGTTTGACATCAAGAAGGAGGCGGCCTGGGCCATCAGCAACGCCACCAGCGGCGGCAGC